CACCGCCCCTCCTTCCACACCACGGCACGTACAGGCACGGAGATGTGTCACGTCTTTAATTTAAAAACCCCAAACACATCCACACACACAGACCCATTTCCCAGTGCTCGGTGTTCCCAGGGAACAGGGGCACCCCCCGCTCCGAGCCACCCTCCTGCTCAGGAACACCTTTCCCTCTCTTATTCTGACCCAGAAACAAGGAGCCCCAGCACCCTTTGGAGAAGGGCAGGGATACATTTCCAGCCCACGGGCTCCAAAGAGGACTCTCCTTTTCCCTATGGAGCAGGATGCCCGTGCTGTACAAACACAGCTTGTCCTGTTTGTCACCAGACACCCCAAGCCACACACCCTCTCCCAGCACACACCAGCACCTGACACCCCCCCAGTATAAACAAAGAACACTTATTGCTTTGGGAAATGTTTTTACCTCCCAGTCTCACCTCCTGCTCCATCCCAGCCCCCTTCCTAGTTCCAGAGAAGACTCTGTATGACTGTGCTTCCCACAGGAGGTCCCCACCTCCATCAAGTCCTTGGAGATCTTTAGATGGAGAGGTGTGATCTGGTTCCAGTGCAAAATGCTGTGCATGAGTTCAAGCTCCATGCAGGACACGGCAGGTCCAGAGAAGTCACCGGCTTTGGTCTCCCCACCTGCATCCCTCTACAGCTCTGGGACTCCCACAGGAAGGACAGGGAAGATACCAACCCTAGAACCAGGTCCAACCACTTGAACAGACATCTAATATATTCTACAAGCTATTTAGTAGATAAAAAGCAACATTAATTTTGCTTTCTGTACACACTCGTGCTCAAAGGTGGGAAATACCAGAACTAAGACTGCCTGCTCTGCCAGCCCCCCTCCTGGAATAATCAACCCTTAATAACCAATCTAGCCACCATCCTGGAATAATGAACCTTTGCAGACTGGCACCAACCCACTCAAAATGCCCACTGGTGCTCTTCCCATCCCAGGTGCCCAACAAACTCTGCTCAACTTTCCCACCTGCTCCTATAAGGTTTCCTGCAAATGAGATACAAATGTTAATGCTAATATGTAATTTAAGGAGTTACTTTGTTGCTTCCCCCTCCATTTTTTGACACACCACCACCCCACAGCAGCACCATTGCTGTACTTGGAATGTTCTCATCACACCTGGAATGTGTCTGGCTCATGTGCAGGAGCACCAAGCCTCAAATCCCTGATACAACCCCCAAATTCCAGTGCACACCCCCAAAAAGCTTCTTTACCTCCCAATTTGTTTGCTGTCCAACCTCCCCCTGCTGTGTGAACAGGACAGGGACACGGAGGGGACACTTTGTGGTACCCACAGTGCCAGTTCCAGCCCACAGGGCCCCTCGGCAGAGCACCTGGACAACACTGCTCCACCAGGCACATGGACACCTGAAGTCCAAGCTTCAAAGGCAGGTTTAATCCTGGCATTTCCCAAACTCTGGAGCACTTTGCTCCCTAGGTTTCAGGCAAGGCCACCTGTGCATCCTGCAGCAGGTTTTAGGAATGGGGCCACACCAGAGCATTGCTCAGATCTCACTGACACCTGTTCCCAAGGTCAGAGGGGAGCAGTGCTGTGCTGTGGCTGCCCCAAGCCCCCCACCCTGGAAGAACAGGTCATTCCATGCCTGGCACACACCCGTGGTACCCACCAGAGAAACTGGTGCTCAGCTGGAGTAACACTGGTCTCTGCTGCTCACGGGTACAACCAGCCTCAAACTGCTCCTCAAGGCCTGACTTTGGAAAGGAGGATCAAGGAAAAACAGGACACTACCACATGGGTCTTTTTCTTTGCAGTACTGATGGCTACAGTGAAACATTCATAACTGCTCAGCAGAGTAAAAATATGCTACATGAGAACTGTACCGGGAAAAGCAGGGCCCCTGGAGCAGCTGGAGAAGAGTGTGCAGATCCAAGTCAGAATGTAACAGCCAGCTTCAAAATATGCCACTGAAAACATGAGAAAATCAACATGGTTGTCCTTTCCTTACAGTTTTGCAGCCACTGGAATTGGTGCAGTTCACACTCCCATCTTCTTGGTGGTGTTGGTGTCACACGGAGCAGGATGGGCACGGCCCTCCCGTGGAGCAGCACAGGGAACAGTCCCTTGGACAGAGGGAGGGCTGGGAGTGTGCTCAGGTGCTCAGCTGGGGCAGGTACCTGTCCCTCCTGCCCTCAGCACTGCACAGGACACTGGAATCACCCCACCATTCCTTCACAGCGCTGTGGAGGCAGGGACAGCCTGGGTGCTGAATGGGAAGGGGAGCTGACAGCCAGCACTGAGCACAACACTGTCCACGGGATCCACTGGATCAGCTCCACGGAAAACATGGAAAGCCGAGGCATGTGCGTGCTCTCCTGGGAAGCACACACTGTTTGGATTCAGAAGGGTTCCAAACTAAGAGAAACTCCCTGGAATGAATGTACAAAGTGCCACTGGTCCTTGGAACCGAATCTAATGTACAGGATATATTACAGCAAACAGCAGCTCTGCAGCTCGTGCTGGCCCTTCTCTGCACTACATGCAGAAGGACTCCAATATCCACTCCTTACAATAGACTCCTTCCCTTTTTATATGAAGGAAAATAAAAACATAACTTAAAACAGCAATAAATAAAACTATGGAACGTGTGCATTCTGCTCAGCCCCCTTTGTGCATCCCAATCAGACTGGAGAGCTTCTCACAGTGCTCAAGTTTCAGGGATTCTGCTTTCTGTTTTAACCTCTCATCTCTGTAGAGCTTGGCCAAATTGGACAAGTCAGACTCTGAAAGATGAAAAAAACAAAAAAGATGTATTAGGATGAAGCCGTGAGCCTCCTTAAAGAACTGTTTCTCAGTGCTTTGTTATCCTTGTGGCACTTGTTAATTCTAATTTTGCTGGGTATTGAATCCAGGGAGGTGAAGAGTTACCCGAGGGACTTGTCTGAAAGGCCTCCGTGCCCTTTCATTAACAATCTCAAATGTACTTTGCATATTTGTTCCCCTTCTTCTCAAAAGCAACATAAAACTGAAATAATCCCATTGTTTAAATTATTTCCCCCCAGTAATTCAGAGAAGTTTCTTTTGCTGATTACCTGAGGAAGTCTTAATATAGCTTTCTCCCTGAAGAATAATTTAGCTGCAGGATTAGATGCACTGAGGAGAAAAGCAGTAATTTACTTCTGAAAAGGTCAACCTTTCCGTAAGCACAGGCTACCTGATGACACTCAATTTTTCAAAGAGCTTTTATACACCTCACAAGCCCCTCATTTCACAAAATTATTCAGAGTGGAAAGAACTTCAATAGGTCCTTTCATGCCTCACGTCCTGTGTCCCTGTCCCACTGAAATTTAAAGCCATTTAACCCTCCACCCACTTACTGAAAAGCTTCCCAAACTGTCAGGCATGAACAGTTCATTTTAGAGCAGGAACCCATTGGCAGGTTTATAACCCAAATGCCACTCAGGCAGTGCTGGGCACACAGCCTTGACAAGCCTCCAGCAAAACCAGACTTGGGTAATTGTCTCTGAGTCCAGAGTCCCTGGAATTGTGCAGTGGAGAATCTCAATTTCCACTTATCCAACTGGGAAAAATTATTCCCTGCGCTTCTGACAGGGTTTATTCCATCACATCTGCTCCTTGTGGGTTTCAATCTTCTACAGAGTTGTTCCTTTGAACTTTTCTCTTTAAGGACATCCTAAAATACCGAATTTCTGTTACGTTTAGACTGGATATTGGGAAGAAATTCTTCCCTGGGAGGGTGGGGAGGCCCTGGCACAGGTTGCCCAGAGAAGCTGTGGCTGCCCCTGGATCCCTGGAAGTGTCCAAGGCCAGGCTGGACAGGGCTTAGAGCAACCTGGGCTAGTGGAAGGTGTCCCTGCCCATGGTAGGGGTAGAACTGGATAAGCTTTAAGGTGCCTTCCAAGCCAAACCATCATGATTCTATGACACATATCCTGATTCTCTCTGTTTTCAGTTGCCTCTTTGTGACCTGGAGCTCTTTGGAGCCTCACTTTACAACTGTGCTATCCAGCTGAAACATTCCTGTAAAAACCTGGGATCTGCTTTTTGTACTTAATTGTGTCAGAGGTTTCAGAAGACCCAAACCCAGAGCACACACAACTTTCACACACTGCTCTGCTGAGAAGGGGAGTCCTCTTTGGTGCAGCACTATAAAAGCAACTGGCTGAACAAGATACCAACCTGTTACTTTTAAAATTTTCCTTCAGGTTGTTGAACACCAGATAGCACTTTCCAACTCATAAAATCAAGGACTTTAAAACCAAACTGTTCCTGAGTAACTCATCTCTGTCCATTTTGCTGGTGCTAAAGAGAAATGCACCCTCAGTAAACACAACAAATGTACTATTAATAGGCATTCAACTGACAAAAAGCTGAGCACACTAAGTCAAACACTTCAACAAGGATTAAGAAACCAATGCTGTGGAGCAACAGCTGACTAAGAACTGCCTCAACATCTCCAGAGCTTTTCTCCAGCACTCCACACCGTATTCACAGTTTATTTTTGCAAAGTGAGCCCAACCTCAGCTGTGCCCCTTACCTGCTCACTGGCCTGGATGGAATCACTCTGAAAATGCTTAGTTTGAATTACAGTGGTGTCCTCAGGCTACTGCTAATTGTGGACACTGTAAATGTATTTGCAGATGGGTGACTAATACAATCTCTAAGTGTACAGAGCTCAGGAGGAGCAGGGCTTGGCAGGCATTTGGCATTCCCTGCTGGATCATCTCCCCCTCTCTGACAACTGGTCTCCCTTAGACTCCCAAACCCTGTCCTTATTTTGGGGCTTGGCTCTCCTTAGCTCCAGGTCTACATGAAAGAGACAACTTTCAGTTGCACAAGATCAATTAAAAGGATTTTTGTGCAAGCCTACATTTATGAGTATTAACAGCCAAATTACACTCAGAGGCTGCTCCTGCCAGCCACAGATGCTTGAAGGTCACAAGTGAAGCACACTAAAAACTTCAGGATTTTTGTGGTCTTATGTTATGGGTTCTTTTCCTTTTTAACTTCAGAACCTATGTCTGTTTATTTCTCTTTAAAGCAGGATTGGTAACTTTTAAGTTTTAAACCAAAACAAGCCTTCCCATGAAAAACCTGTAAAGAGTTTGGAGTCAGCAACACTGTTGTTACCTCTTCTCTAGGGTTAAACAAGTCTTGTTTGGACAAACTGTGTTTCCATAATGATGCAACTGGTAAAGAAACTGAAAACAAGTGCAAAGGCACTTTTTAGCAGTGTGCTGAGGACTGTTTCACACAGAGCAATTTAGAAAGCCCCACCAGTGTGTGAAAGCAGTTTGCTATTGAACATTCTCAGAGACACAACTTGTTCCAGTTTCCTTTATACACAGCAGCACTTTGTGTTTACTCATTTAAAGGTGATGAGTTTTTTAGCTGAAAAAAAATCTGTCATAACATCCCACCATCAGCTACTCCTTGTAATTTTTATTTGTGTTACTTGCCAAAGAAGCAAGGATTTGCTCTGTTTTCAATGAACCAGATTAGCAGTAATTAATAGGTAAGTAATGCAATATGTGGGTAAAATGCCTTAAAATATGGGGTTCACATGCCTTTATTCACATCACTGAGTGACTCATGGCTGATTGAGAATAATGAGTTTGAATGTTCACATCTGTGTTCTCCTTTCCTGCACTCAACTCTTGTTTTTAAAAGACTTGACTGTGGTGAAAAGCATGATCTCAAACTCATCTAAAGATAGAAAATGCAAATAACACACAAACTGAGCACAGAAGCACAGCTCTGGAAACTGATACCAGGAACACAGCCCACTCAAGAGAGCCAAGAGCACCTGGACAGGCTACGGGCTCCCCTGGGGAAGTTTTAAGGGAAAAGTCAGAGAAACTTCTCATGGAGCCAGTCTGCTCCAGCAAAGGAAACATGGAATAGGTGATGTCTCAAGATCTTTTCTGGCCTAACCATCTGTCAGGGCTAGATAAACGTGGTGGGTTCTGTGTTGAAAACATCATCACTAAAGGGTATTCGAGCATGAAAACCGAGTGGAAAAAACCATCTCAAATGGTGAAATCTACTTTCCACTCATCACTTAAAATGCATTTTGACACATCTCAAGAAAAGCCAATTCAGTGTTAAGAGCAGATGTGAGACACCTCAAAGCAGGGCAAGGTTGAGCTGTTGTGAGCTGTGCAAACTGAGGCTAAAACCAGCAGCACTTTGCGAGGCGCAGGACCCAGGCGGGTCCTGGGCACACACCTGGGACAGAAAGAACTTACTTTGCTGTTTCTCCTTCCAGCAGCTGGTCTGAATATAGTCTATGTAATCCTTTTCAACCGTCTTCTCGAGCTCTTGGAGTTCTGCTCCTTGGTAATTCTTCTCGAAGTTCCTATCGACATAGTAAGGCACCTGCAAGTTCTCTGTTTCTCTGATAATGACGTGGCCGATGGACCTGTGGACACACAGAGAAACCAGATGTTTGAGCAGTTTGACCCTAAAGAAATCAAGAGCTGCTTCTCCACACTGGCATTTCCAGAGGACAGTATTTAGAGCCATGTTTTTACAGTTAATTTCTGCAGGATTATGGCTCCCTCAACCATCCAGTAAGGAAATTACAAGTCTCGGGCACAGCAAGCTGTGCATTACAAACAGAATCCACCCCCTGCTAAAACCACAGGAAAATATCTAATGTTTGGAAATACCTACAAAGAACTGACACTGCTCCTGCTGAATACTGTGTTTGTTCCCAACAGCTCACTCAAGACACTTCCAAAATATCAGAGCAAATTTTAACTGTGAACTCTCCAGACACTTCTGTTTGCTGGGGATTCCTGGCAAACTCAGTCCAGAAATCCATGGGGATTGATAACTAAGGTAGAGATTATAAAGACTTGGGGCACAATGCAATTGGATCTGGATTTTCCTGTTTTCTGGATCCTTTAGTAGAACTAAAAATTAGCAGGGGAGATTCCAATTACACTTTTCTTCAGGGTTTTATAATCATCAGTAAGCAAAGTGGGGAAGAATTAGCCCCTCTGACACAGCCACTGGATCAAACTCCATTCTTAGACCGAATTTCCTTATTTGAGCAAAGATACCCAGGCATTTGCTCAAATCACTGCCCACAGACAGAGGCAGGCAGCCAAAACACAAAGGTTACACTCTACTCAATGGAATCCTGTTTGCCCCTTCTTCCTGGACTCTCTCACTGTCTCAGAGGTGTCCACTCTCTTTAAAGAAACAATTGCTCCTAGTTTTTAAGCTTTTTTTTAAGGTTATGATTTAGAGAAATGACCTAACTGTGTGCCAGGCTCAGGCCTGACTATCTCACACCAGCAGGAGAAGGGGAGGCAGTGAAGAAAAGCAGGAGAGATCAGCTGCTGTGGGGGCAGCGTGGGAGGTTCCACATGGGACTGGCAGATAGCAAAAACACTCCCTGGAAAAAAAAACCACCCAAAAAACAACCACCCTCCTGCTCTTCTGCGAGGGCCTCACACTGACATCTTGTGGCAAAATGATGAGGGGTGCTGGGCTACTCTGACAGCAGAGGGAGGGGACAGACCTGGACCTGAGGAGTTTTACTCCTAGAAGGGAGCAAGGGGTGTGTTTGGAGCTCTCTGCTGGTTCCTCAAAACCTGCCAATCCTACTTCTGGCTCAGTAAGAGCCAGTGAAGGTGAGCTCTTTCCCACTAGAGAGATTCCTTCCTCCCAGCACTCTTTTTTCCTCTGCCTCACAAACTCAAATTACAGCAGCTCTGGTGGTGGTCCTTCTGCTTCCAGAGCTGACCAGCTCCCCAGGGTCCTGCTCCTCTACAGAAATTAAACCAGGGCATTTCAAGGCTTTAATGATTTGTGGAGCTTCCAGTGGAATTCATGCTCCAGAGCAGATTTGGATTCATACTGCACACCACAGGCTTCATTATTTAACTGCTTTCCAGAGGAACCTCAGTGGTGGTCCACAGATTCCAGGAGCTGGGCAGACCAGAGGCTGATCTGCACCCACATTTATCCTCCTGTATCACAGTGCAAAACCATTTCACACCAGCTGAGGAAGGTTTCTGGTCTGGTGCCTCTCTCTGTTCAGCAATAAAGCTCACCACAGGTAACTTCACAGCTCAGGGGAACTCGTCAGGGCAGACTGTTGTTATTTCCCTATTTATGAATTGATAACAGTTGCTGGAAAGAGCAGAACATTAACATGAATTCTGCAATCAAATCCAACTTCCTTCTGCCTCCCTATTGCACACAGCAAGAACAGAAAATCGTGTTTTTAAAGCACTTACGACTTGTAGAATAAGCTGTAGGGAGGGTTGGTGGCCATCAGCTGGGTTATCACTGACACTACTATGATGATGAACACTGGCATCAACTGGATAAATGCAGAATAGGAATTCTGAAAAGAACAAGAATTAGTAGCCAAGGGAAGACAGAGACGGAAAAAGAGGCATCTGTTCACAGAAACCAGGCTATCTATCACAGATCAACAATGTATTACACGTAAACTGAAAAAAAGAGGAAGTACTTTGGGATTTAGAGAGGGATGACACTGTAATTTCGAAATAACCTTTATTAATAATCTCAGACATCTCTTGACAACCATTTTCTTTCAATTATCTTTTCCTCTACCCCTTCCTTCACAAGGCAATAGACACCCACAGCACTGTCAGTGCCCAGCTGACAATCCAACCTGCAGGAACACACTGCAATTCCCATGTTCTACAGCTTTCCAGGCACTCTCTGAAGGTTGCTACACCCATTCTAAAGATCTCAACCTCTGTTCAAGCACTGGATTTAATGGCTGAGCAGTAAAGGGTTAAGAGGCCACATGTGCTGTAACTTGGGACAGGATGCAAATGCAACAAGAGAGTGGAAAAGTATCAAAGGGAAAACACAGATCTTTCCTCCTGCTTTTTGATTTCTTTCTAAACAGGCTTCTAAAATCTAGGAGGAGGAAAATAAAGCATGCAGCTATTCAGGCTTTGCCCTCTGCCCTGGGATAGCAACGAGGATTCCTGATGTAGGTGGGATTCATTTGCCCTGTTTGCTGTCAGCTGTATCCATTTCTTTTTTCAGAGGCTAAGAGACTCACAAGGGAAAACTCATCTTCCTTGGAGAATGATTCCCTGAGGTTAACAGACAGTCTCCAGAGGGAGATTCTGCCAAGGCAGGTGGCACATGTGTATGTGCACTGGCAACAAAAGACACCCTGTCTCACCTGGAGGTCTCAGTTGGCAGAAATGTATCCCAGAGCCATCCTGCCCTGGGCTGGAAGAGGCTTGTGCAGCACCTGGGTGCTCATTTACTGAAAGCTTAAATACACCTTGAGGACAAACAGCAAAAGCCAGTGCTTCCACACCCATTACCAGGCCCCATTTGGACTAATTGTTGTTGGATTACCAAACATTAGAGCTTAGAAAAAGAAGGAGCAGCAAACCTCTGGATGACAGAAACTGGAAGGCATGTAATCCTATAAATACGAAGTATTTTTAAAGCAGTGATTAATAAAAGCCAATCCAGTCACGTAAAAAACATCCCCTGTGGGTGCAGTGCTTGAGAATAAACACTGAGCACTCAAGCATGGGAAGGTGTGTCCTGGCTTCAGGTCTCCCTCACCCTGGTGAGATATTTAAGCCCAGGAGATCCCTCCTCCTGGCTACCTGTGGCCTGTTGTCTTCCTCCTCCTGCTCCTGTGTCCATGCCCTTTCGGCCCGGTGCCTCCGTGGGTAATAATGTGCATCTCTGGCTACATTTGAGAACATGTGGATATTTCCTGTAAAAGAAAGGTCATGTTTCATGGCACTCACCTGTACTCCTCAGTTTCTGTTTAACTATCCAGGTTGATACTACACAGCCTGATGACATTTGTGAGACCTCACACCAAAAAGCACAGCCAACCTCTGACTGAAATGACAGAACAACATGTCATTCCAAAAAGCCTACCAGAGAAATTGTAAAGTGTGCCCCAAGTCCATCTTAATTTAAATCAAACTGCAGAGACATGTTCTGATTGTTATGATTGTATCTCATATTTTAATGCTGGTTTTGTCACGTTCACTTGCAAGGCTGTGGCAGGAAAATGGATTTGCTTCTCCAGGCTCAGGCCATGAATTACAGCCTCCCATAATTACTGAATGTGCTTTTCTACTCATTTCTATTTCCTCTGCCTTCAAGCCATTAATGGTTTCACTTAATTATTTTATCATAAGGAGAGAGATTTTAAAAAAATAGCTTTTCGAGTGAAAAAAGGAGAACAATTCAGGATTTCCTTTCTTGCACGTGGAATGCAGTTGATTTATTTTTAAAAATTCTAAAATGAGGAAAGAATTGTATGTGCTGCTTCGATTTGAAGCTCTAACTCTGATTTTATCACCATATGAATATCTTAATAATAGCTTTGCTCTCCTCCTTTGAAATTCAGCATGTCTTTGTGTTAGAGAATTGGAAATCTATGGCTTATCATCACAACAGAAATGCAAATCTATTTTTAAGCCCTGGGAAAGATGTCACATTATTTTATACTCTCCCACTGTCCTTTTTTGAGCTTCCCAAAGAATTCTGCAAGAAACCTGGGTGAAGGTGACCCTTGCTGTTGTGTTAAACCTCTGTGACATTGCTTGCTCAAGGATATTTCCAAGGCATGTGTGCCAGCAGAGCTCCAAGCCAGGCTGTCTCCAAGGAGGAAAGTTTCTTTTTGGTAAAAAGACAGTATTTTATCAAGTTATGAAAAAAGAAGCAAGTTTTGGAATAGAAGAATGGCTTTTACAGGGTGCCTAGAGAAGAGTTATCCCAAATTCCAAGTTTCTCCAAGAATTTCTGCCAGGAGTTTCTTTCCTTCCATGTGCATTTATTTTTCATGAGAAGGACATTCAAGTTGTAGCCTCTCCCCATTAGAACTGTGCCATGTGGAGTCTCCCTTGAGTTTTATCACAGTTAACATTTTAACTTTTAATATTTTTCCACTGAATATCCACAGAGGAAAACTGCACAGTAAAACCAAAGCCACAAACCTGCCCACAAATGCCACACAAATGAGTTGACACCAACACCTCTAATTTGGATTTCCAGAGAGCCTGGTGACAGCAAAGTGTCACAAAACAAACACCAGCACAAACTTCAGCTCAGGCAAGTCCTACTTAGTGCTACAACGGTTTAAAAAAATGTTCTCTTTATATCAACTACCTCTTACTAGCAATTCTCTTGCTAAATAGAATCCGTGAGGACTTTCCCTATTTGGAAAATTGCTAAACTGGTAATTTTCCATAACTTAAAACTTACTTTTACATTAGGAAAATGTACATAAATTTACATCCACACACTTTTTTGGTGAGGAAACCATTGTTTACTACCAACACCAACTACTATGAAATACCTGTTTCTTTCTTTATTCTTTGCCATTTGGCTCAAAATTCCCATTTTCTCCTTTGTGCCACTCTCCCTGACAAACCTGCCATGCCCAGTACCCAAATTCCTCCTGCAGCTCCTCAGTTTCCTGTCCTCAGTTCCAAGCATCCCTGTCTCCCACATTACCAAGCAGTCCCATTTCATGAGGGCAATGTTCCACAAAAGGCACACACAGGTGCAATTCCTTGCACAGCCAGGAATGGAAAACTTGCAGACTCTGGATGGAATTACACCATGCTGGGGTTGGCTCACTTTGCACATTTACTGATGTAAATTTAGGAACAACCTGAGGTCCCCTGGCAGCAAGATGCAGCACTCACACTAAGGTTATGGGGAGCTTGTAAGTAACTACCTGTGTCTGTGGCTTCAGGCTGTAGTAAGTGGTGTGTATGTCACTTTATGTGACACCTGGGAGGGGAAAAGTTTACAGGAATGCTAAAGCAATTCCTTAGATGCTGCCAGGAACACCCTCGAGCTCACCACACTGTTCAGATTTACTTTTAATCCACAGATCTTGTGGTATCTTTCTATTTCTCCTACAAATACAAAAGCCAAGGCTGGACTGAGACATGCCCAGAGCTAGTACAGGTGCAGTTCCACTGCTGTGTTACTGGATCCTGCATATCCACTGGATCCTGCATATCCACTGGATCCTGCATATCCATGGACAGTCTATCCTGGCAGGGAGCACTTGCTGAGCTCCCAAGCTTGAATTTCATTCCAGCACACAGGAACGTGCCAGGAAGGCACAGGAGCTTCCCTGCTTAGAGAGGCACTGAGATCACAACTCCAGCAGCTGTGCCATGCCGGCCTGGAATGCTGGAAGGTGCCTCAAGTACAACCCAATCATGGAATGGTTAAGGTTGGAAAAGACCTCTGAGGTGACTGAGTCCTGCCATCACCTAAGACACCTCTGATCCCTTCCCATTCACACTTTATTTTATCTCCCATACCACTGCTGGCTTCAGATGATGGAGGGAATAAAAGAAAGGCAGAAATCAATTCCAGAAAGGTTTCTGCTCTTTTCAAATGTATAATCAATTCCATGAGCAGTCCCCAAGGGAAGCTGACCTTCCTTTATGGTTTACAGAATCACAAAATATTCCAAGTTGGAAAGGATCCACAAGGATCATCCAGTCCAATCCCTGGCCCTGCACAGGTCCATCCCCAAGAGTCATCCCCTGTGCCCCAGAGGATCAGCCAAACCCTCCTGGAGCTCTGGCAGCCTTGGGGCTGTGCCCACAGCCCTGGGGAGCCTGGGCAGTGCCCAACCAGCCTCTGGGGGAAGAACCTTTTGCTGAGATCCAACCTGAGCCTGCCCTGACACAGCTCCAGCTGTTCCCTCGGGTTTAGTGCCAGCCCACTGCACTTCAAAACCACTGACCTGTAGGAAAATGCCCACCAAAAAACACATTGAATATTTCTTCTGGTGTAATGTCTGCTTCAAACTCTGTGTAGTAATTGTAGTGCCTGGCCTGGCCAGTGCTGACGTGCTCTTGGTCGCTCCCCAGTTCATCGTATCGCAGTCGCTTCTCAGGGTTGCTCAGAACTGCAAAAGCATTGCCTATTGCTGCAGAAGGAATTAAAACAAGCATTTTAATCAACATTTCCAGACCTCTGACTTTTATAAGCAGTGCAGCAAAAAAAACCCCAAACAAGCATAGAAAAGTCATGCTTGACCAAAGATTGAGTCACTTTTGAAAGAACAGCACTGGAATTACCTGTGATGGAAACTACTTCCTGCTGCCCCTGATGCCAAGAGAAAGTGCTAAAGTATATGGAGAGACCTGAAATATTCACAAAACCAAGGTGAGTCTCCATTTCAGCCAAGAAAGTGGGTGAGAATGCAACATTTTCTCAGCTCAAACCAAGCCCTGCTATAGAAGTGCACCTCCATATACCACACACAGTCAACACAAAGTTAATAACTGGAGAGACTAATTAAAATGCAGAGTGATATTCCAAGTTTTTCCTGCTGGCAGAGGTGCTCCTGAAGCTGTGCAGCACATCTACTTCACACTTCACACCCAACCACCCAGAAGTATTTGTTTGGTTCATCTTCCTCTTTGATCTCTGACAGAACAAGTTCATTGAGAACTACAACCCAAACACAAACAAACAAAGAAAAGCCCTTCAAAAGCTCCTTAACAGACTGTGAATGAATCACTTGCTTTCCTCGTGCTGTGCTGCAACACAGCATGGAAAGGGCAAAGGATGCAAGAGTTTAGATGGCAACAGGGTCAGTACAGAAGTGAAATTTTTCTGAGAAGTCCAGACACAGCATATTGGATTAAATTTTATATGTTTGCATAGATATACATATAAATTTATTGACAAGGAGCAGTTTTTGATTACACAACACCCCATTCTCCTGCATGCCCAGTGTTAGTTCCAAGCTTCGTTTTGAACCCTTCACAGAATCCTGGAATGGTTTGGGTTGGGAAGGACCTGAAAGATCATCTCATCCACCCCCTGCCATGGGCAGGGACACCTCCCACCAGCCCAGGTTGCTCCAAGCCCCGTCCAACCTGGCCTTGGACACTTCCAGGGATCCAGGGGCAGCCACAGCTTCTCTGGGCAGCCTGTGCCAGAGGCTCACCACCCGCTCCTTCAGGGCAAACGGATTTCTTCCAATACCTCCATCTACCCTGTCCAGTGGTGAACCACTTCCTCCTTGGCTTGCTCCCCCGGTCGTGCCACTGCAAAATCCCTCAGAAGTTCTCCGGAATGAGACCTGAGTACAATTTCCCTCTGGCGATTTCTCTTGAATCAGAAATGCTTGTATTTTGCAGAGCGAAATGCAAACCTGGCCAGAGCGCAGGGGGTTTGTGTGGCCTCGGCTGTGTCCGCCGGCACCCGCGCTCTGCACGCATGCGGCCCCGCTCCGCCGCCTCACGGAAGCCCCCCGGGCCCCTCAGGAGCCCCTCACCTTTAAAGGCCTCGGTGG